TGCTGAACATCGCTCTGACTGAGGGCTCACCGCTGGCTGTCAGCCTGGCCAAAATTCAGCTCCTTGGACATCCAAACTGAAGGCTGCCAGTTACGTGTTACATTTATGATCAGAAAATATATAGACCATTTCAAAAATGAAGGTATGGAAAAAGGTTCAAAGCCTGTTTGCTGACAGAGCAGAAGAGATAGATATCTAAAACACTACCCTCTGTCACTTTGGTGTCTGCCCTCCTGTTTTTCCCCCACAAACAGGAACTGCTGTGTAGTATGCAATGGCCATTTTTCCACCTTCCTCACCACAGCTGGCTTGTGGTCAGCCCTCTCTTAGGCTGGGACAATCTAAGGATAAAGGTGAAGTACAGGGCATTGACGGCTTCTTTCTCTCCTCCCATGGACATACAAGTAACACTCAAGACAGCTCCACCACGGGGACATATGGAGCAGCCTAGCTGCCAAGTCCTACCTCCACAGGGACATAGCACACTACCACAGTCCCTCACCCTCTCCATGCCTACATGTGCTCCTTGGTCTCAGTACACATAGGTGAGTGTGTATCACCACCCTGACCCCATGGAGCTTGGGCTGAGCTGGGCTGTGAAGGACACATTTTGAAAGTGGAGGATCCAGTACTCTTGCAACCAGATGCTCTGAGCTCAAAATACACGAGACAAGCCATTTATCCAGTGTCTGTGAGACAGCAAGAGAAGAAAGCTTACCTGGTTGATCATAGGATGCCCATGCTAGATTTTCTCCACATTTTCCGTTAGCAGACTCAGAGCTGTGTTTGAGGACCCTCGTGGTAGCCAGTTCTTCTGCATACCTAGCAAAGGAATCCACACATTGAGTCATGGGCTACAGCCACAGTAAGCAGAGAAGAGGAGGAACAGGAGGAAGAGGAGGAGATGCAAGCAAGGAATTTTGCTGGAAGATAATGATTTAGGCCAAGTTACTCAGCTGCAAAGCGCTGAAACCAGGATGCTGTAAGTTTACATAGGTCTAGCAGTTAGGCAAAGGGAAGGCCTAGAGGACATTTTCCTTGCCTTTTGTGAGCACCTGTGTCACTGTTCTAAAGGGCCTAGAAGAAATCAAAGGGCAGATCTCCCCCCACCATGTTCTGCCCAGCACCTGGAAATCCACCGACCATCCTTAGCTGCAGCTGCTGGTGGAAGGGGAAGTACCTGCAGCAATTGCTACAGGTGTCACCTCCTGACATTTCTAGGCCCTTCACGGGAGTAGCTTAAATGTTCTCAGTGAGATAAAAAAAAAAGACCAAAGTGAGGATTCAGTCAAAGCAAGTGTAAAAAAACCCTACTTTTACAATGAAAAAAAGTCAAATGCAAAACAAGAGCAATGTGCCAGGCAGCGGTACGGAAGAGAAGGGGACCACATGGAGTATCTGAGGCAACAACTGTGTACACCGACATAGGGATAAGCACTGTTTCTATAGAAGTTGACATGTGTGAGGGCATGGGATGTGTTGTATTGTCTTATGACAATAGGGTTAAGAAGAACATCATGTGTAAAACAATTATTCTCTTTATTCAACATTGGAAAGGCTTCAGTACAGAGACAGTGAAATTGGAAAGACCACTTGTTATTTCTCATGGCACAAGAAATAGGAGGCAGCACACAGAATTATCAAGTCATAGATTTAAAAGTCAAGTAAGACAAAGCACTATTTCCACACTGTGCAGCAGAGTGCATCGCCACAGGACGATGCAGACACCAACGCACATGTGGGTTTGAAAATGAGCTAAACAAATTTACAGTGTGTGTATGTGGGGGGCAATCTTCAGGGCTTATTAAACAACAGCAACAAAAAAAAATAGGGGTGCAACCTACTGCTTAGGAAAACCGTAATTTCCAGGAGAAATCTGTGATTTCCTGGAGAAGATAATGGGGTAAGGATCACCACATTGGTTTTGTTCTGCTACTCCTTCCCTAATCATGAATTACAGGCATCTGCCAGAGACAGGAAATTTGTCCAGCTGAATATTTTGGCCCAATCTAGTACTTCAGTCGTTAGGTTCTCATTTCCTTCTGTTCTAATCCTCCCACCAAAAGATACAAACAAAAAAAGTATTTAGCTAAGTCCATTAATTTAGAAATAATGAAAACTTGTCAGTTTCCAGCCTGCTGGATCCTGAACTAGAGGATCTCTAGATGATCCTTCATGCCCTGTAACACTACGGTCCTGTAATTTTTCTCTTCAAGGATTCCCACATCCCAAGCAAAAGGCAAGACTGCAACAAAGCACACACTGCACATGGACGAAGTTGCCAAGGATTTGAGACAAAGGGTGATTAATTCTCTCTAGCTCAGGCAGTTGAAAGCATGAGATTTGCATCTGAGATCATCACCCTATGGTTCACTACAGTCAGAGATAAACAGACACCTGCTGAGGGTGACTCATCTCATGCTAAAGCAGGGATCCAATAGTTAGTTCATCTAACCTGTCGCAATTATTGGAACTGAAAATAGCAGGAAACAGACCATTTTCAACACAGATGGAGAAGCACTGAAACATACCCAGAGATACAGCAAATATATACCAACAAAGATATCAGTTATACCTAAAGAAAAGGTGAAGCTCTTCTTTGGATTTAAGATTAAGCAAAATCTGTCCTGACAAATATGAGATTTCTTATATTTCATGTCTTTTATTCAGATTAAACCATTTCTGCTTCTTGCTATCAACCAGTTTCACCAGTGTGAACATGTGTCTTTTAATTCTTGCAAGTTAAGTTGCAGACCGCAACCAAAGGTTTCCTATTGTTATTCATCACAGTGGGGAAAGTCAGCTGAGACCAGAGTGGACTGTGAGGAATTTCAGAAGGACCTAAAAATACCCAGCAAGGGCAATAGCACACTTAGAGATAAATGTGGAGCAATGCATATTTGACAGAATAATCTGAACTATTCATACAAGTTGACTTGTTCAAACCATCTGTAGCATTTTGGAGACACAACAAGTGTTATTGACAAGTCAATGAAATGTCTTCTTCATTGTGAGGCATCATGTAAAACAGAAACAAAACAACCCTTTGAAGAACAGAAGGAAAACCCCAGCAGATTACAAAGGTATGTGGAGGAGTCACTGACATTCCATCTCTTAGAAATAGTGTATCCAGTTATCGTGGTGCCTCAAGAAAAAAACTGAAAAAATAAAAACAATCAGATTTTTCTCGCTGCCAGAGGGCATCTCCACAAACCATGTACATGGCGCATTGTACAGCACAACACCTGGCAGAGATCTCTGGTCTAGGAGTGCGGGAGCTGGTGCATCTGTGTGACAGCGCAGCACCACGCTGGGACAGTCAGTCAGGTTCTGGAAAGGCTACAGCCTCTCCGGCTCCCAGCCAGCTGGCGCGGAGAAGTCTGCATGGTTACAGTAGAAAGCCTAATGGGAGATGAGATCTCATGCCTGCAGGGGTCAAACTGGCCACTATTTAGCTGTTATGGAAAGACATTTATTTTCTGAACAGTTTAATCAGCATTTACTCCTTCAGGTATCTCCTCTTTACTGTGAGGATCACCCTGAAAAAATGGAAGACTTTCAAATCTACTTTGAAAAAGGTTGTTGTAAAGGGAAAGGAAATAATCTAGTAGTCATGTCTGCAGCAAAGAGGACAAGCAGTAACGGACTCAAATTTCTGTAAGGCAGGCTTAAATCAGACAGCAGGAAGGTGGATCCGCTGTACATTAGACTGACAAGAAGTTGTGCAGTCTTCAGCATTGGCGAAGAGCTAAGATGTGTCCCTCCCGACAGACTGGAGAACAATGTATACTGATTTTGCTTTTCGGGGCAGGGAGATAGATGATTTGATCTGAAATTACTTCCCCCTGATTCCACTGATCTTATACCAGTTGTCACTTCCAACCATGAAAAAGGTTATTTTGTCCACTATTTCAGCAGCAGTGGATATTCTCCTGCAGATGACAATCCATTATCTGATAGAGGTGGTGGAGAAACATGTTTTAGGCAACTACTTTCTTCAGAGGAGACACACTGGTGTAGGCAGATGCAGCCCACGTCTGGAAAAGGGTGCAAGAAAGATTTATACAGTTGTGACCACAGAAGTGCCCATGTGACCAGCTCATGCTATGTGATAGAGAAAGAAGGGGTGAAAAGAGTTGGGTAGGGAGACGGAAGGAGTAGAGTTCCTCACTTTCCACCCAGTAAGTCTTCGTTGAATATCAGCACGTCAAAAGGCAAATATTTTTGCAGTATGCACAGTCAAACCTGATAGATAAAACTGTCACAAATCTCATTAGAGAAAAGAAAGGACTGAACTCACTGTTGGGCTCCTCTGTTTAACTTCTTGCAGAGTTTTAATGGGGGCACTCCGTGTTTCTTCCTGTAGTCATTGTGTGCTTTCAAGACTTCTTCAGCAAATTGTTTGGAAGCTGAAATCACATCAAAAAAATTGGAAAGGTCTGTCAAATACAGACATCAGTGAAGATGGAAAAATCATACCCTGTGGCTAAGATGGTGGTGCAGGCTAGCCTGAAGAACAGCAGCATCCAACCCTCATTACCTGGGAGTAGGATGAAATCAACTGTTAATGCCTTCCATCCAGGAACTAACTCTAAGAGACACTCCCAGTGGGATGATACTACAGGTTGAAGAAAAATGTGAACCTTATTCCTTTCCTCAATAGCAAGGTGATTTAAGGTTTGTTTGACTGACGTTCATTTTAAGATTTCAGCTCACTGCATCACTATAGCAAAGAAGTCTCAGAGTAAATGACAAATATGTCCTTTCAGGAGATGCTCTAAAAATGCAAATTACTGTTACTGCATGCAAGAACTTACTGTATTAGTCAAGACACCACGTAAAGAAAAGAGAGATACTAAAATGTGTAGAACTATGCAAATACTTTGAAACATACACCTTTCTTTTTGGTCATTATACAGTACAAATTCATAGAAATCTCAAAATGCACCTTTATTTGGCTCAAGACAAATAATTGTTCACAAATAGCAAGTGGTAAGGAAAGAAATGACTGCTGGGGATGACTTTTTTCCCCCCTGTGCTAGAGTGTATTCAATAACTATCTGAATTCCAAAGTTACTACAAAGCTTTAAAAGAGCTCCTGTTTGCACCCCAGTAAACTTGGGACTTTCCGCAGTGCAAGGCAGAGGACAAGCAACAAGTCACAGTGCAATTCACTTTCACAGCAATTTCATGTTACGTCCTTTTATGACTTTGTTGATTTTTCCCAAGATTGAGAGGGAAAAAAATTTCTGTCCTTGGTCACCCTGTGGAATTTGCTGCTTTAAGAGAAATTTGGAACCTGAAACAGGGTATTGGGAAGTTAGAGAGGTATGAATAGCATCTTCAAAACAGAAAGACAGTTTTCACTCTCTCTATATTGCTGAAGTTTCAGAACAGGCCAATACATCTTTGAGTATTTACTCGGCTTTTACTATGACACAGGTTTCTACATTTCTTAATGATTCATCAGCTTCATTTCTGAATATCCTAATTAGCACTATTATTACCCTCATTTTCCTTGTAAGACACTTTTGAAGCCCAAACAGACCTCATGACTAGAAAGTGTTTCCTCTTACTAACTTTAGATTTCTCAACTTCCTCTCACTACTCAATCCTAGCAACTATAATCAAGCATTCTCTCCTTTATTAGCGTGTACGCTGTTCTGCTATTTGTATTGATGCATTTTCCCACAGTAGAGCTGTTAGTTTGCACATACTGCTCTCATAACTTTTTGGGTGGGAGAAATGATGATCACCCAACCCATGCTCATGCTTTCAGCTATTCGCAGAGTTCTCTCCAGTTTCCCCAACAGCTTTAGGATAATACGACAGCCTAAGATAATCTCAATATCCAATGTGCATAGAAAGCCATTACTGTTTCATGCAGTACCTTAAACTTTTTGAACACAGATGCAGCTGGGTTGTCCTTTTCCAGACCAAATTGTCATTGTGGAGATATATCTAATATATTCTCCATCAGCATGCTTTCAGGCTAGATTTTTTTGGTATAAAATTGTTGGCATAAGACAGCTAAGAATTCAGCAACAGGAATCCTGTGAGTGAGTGAGATGAGATCTGCCCACCACCTTCCTCCTCTTAGGTTTTCCTTCAGTTTTGTGTGTCACAAGTTGCATATTATCAAACAAAACGGGCACCTCCACTGTGGTGTTTAAGCACCCACACAGCCTCTTGCTAACAAACCTGTCCCATCACTCTTGTTACCATCGCTCACAGCTCACTGTGAGTCCTAAACCTCTCATCTGCTCTATCATGCGGGGTCATGGCCTGTTTCTAAGGCATCTGTCATAGGTTACTGAGGAAAGCAAGCCTATGGCCAGTTCACTTAACTTCACTGATACAGGCATCCACACTTCCGGCAAGCAAATTTTAAGACAGCCTGCAAATCAAAGAAGTTGAAATACATGGCTTTGGAAGTTGCATCACATACTCCAGGCTGCATTTTTCTGCACAAAACCCTCTTAAAGCTTGTGGCTGTTATCACCTAAACTTAATATCTCATCCTCTCAGCATTAAATAGTGGATAAAGAAGCTCTGAGAGTTTCTATTGAAATTATTTTCTCTCAATAACAAATTCAAATTCTTAAAAAAAAATGAAGTTCACTGGAATACAGGCTTTGTCAATTGTCAGTCCATCCACTAACAGAAGTATTGCACAATCCGGTTCTGTACTGGCATTTTGACTTAAAAAGACCAACGAGATACAGACAAAACTGAGTTTCTTCTAGCTACGGCAGGCACCGCTATGCTGTCCCTAGAGAACCTCCATCTTCCCCTTCCCTCCAAGGTGGCTGCTATAGAAACACTTATCTGCCATGACTCAAGCTCATGTGCTCACCGCCTCCCTCTGCACGGCTTCTCCCGTGCATGCTGATGTGTGGAGAGGGACGCCCAACTGCCAAATGTATTTCAGATTTGTTTTGGAAGACATGTTAAGTTTTTCCATTTTACCAATGTTCCATACACTGAGAAGCCAGACATTAAAAGTGAGAGTTAACGGGAGTTTTCAGGCTCCCGCCCAAATGGGAACAGCTTCTCAAACAGCTTTGGAGACGTACTTTTTTCCCTTCATGTAGGCTGCTTAAGCTGCTAGAAAAAAATTATTTCCTACTGCCAGGAAGTTAGGTTTGGTCATGAATCATTACACAGCTTAATAAGTAAAACAACTGAAGGCATTAGATACAGTTGCTTGCTTCTCATTATTCAATTATTTCCCTCTATTTTGGATTCTTCTGGAACATTGGTTAAGATAATGACAGCACATGACGACAAATTTCCAGGCTGTGATGTGGTACAGAACACACCTTACAGTTGTTATGTTTTTTGGACTTTCAGTTTCATTGACCAACTTTGTGTGACCATAGAAAAGTAAGCAGAGGCATCTGGCTTGCCTTTTCCCATCAGATTTGTTTCTCCGAGTATTCTATTTCTCCATCTTCTGTCTCTAAATAGTGCCAATCTATTCAGTCTTTCTCAAGTGAAGAGATCTTCATGCCTGAATCCCTCCTGCCTCCTCTTTGAACCTTGTCTTCTCCTGCTCTGTTCTTCCCTTAGTTTGGACATCAAAACAGAAGCAAATTATCTGAACACGTCTTCCACAATACTAGCTGCTCTGCATCGTCTTTGCAGCCTTCAGCTGGACCTACTCCACTGATCTGGCAGAGCTGCAAGATGATTTGCGGAAAGAGTAACAGCAAAATACTCCACAAAAAATCAACATGAAACCTCTCCACCCAATACCTACACAACAGAAATGCTATGGGCGGCAATTATGTCACCACTCAGGACGCACAGCATTATACCAGGCATACATTTGACTAGCAAAAAAGGCATACTTTTTTATGACTAAGTATCCACTCCAGTGATTCATGAAAGAGCACAATATCAATTTCTATAAGTATCATTGTCTTCTCAGTGCTCTCTGTCCTATTGTTCATGGATTAATCTTCACTGGCAATTTTGTGCTTTCCATATGTACTATTTTTTTCTATTTAGCCTTCAGATAATTAACACATAATGCAATCAACAAGAAATGGATCTCATGTAGAATCCTACACAGAAGCATTCCATTAGGTTTGTCTCAATCCCTCTTTGAACCATGACATAGGCCTCAACTCTTCACCCAATGTGTGCATTACAGGTAAGTGGAGATAATGACCGCACCTTGCAATCTTGCCACAAAATAAATAATTAGAAGGGGCTAGAGCAACATATCTGAAGAAAGCTACAACATATACTTCAAAGGACACACCCTTTTGGAGAGATGTAAACACAAAAACCTGATACCAACAGCCTTGGCAATGTGACTCATGTTACCCAGGACACTGCATGTTCCTTCCACGCTCTTTCCTGCCCTGAACACCGGGAGGAACATTAGTTACCCAGGCAGAAAGAAGCCAAGTACAAGAATACATGGAGAGGACACAAATGCAAAGTGGACAAAAAACACATAAAAAGGTAACTGGGTAGCCATTTAAACACAGATTATAGCTCTGTGTTAATACTGAAATCCCTTCAGCCTCCCTTGACTCTGCAGGATTGCTTTACCCTACTCTGATAGCAGCAATGGAGCGTGGAATGAGAATGTGGCAAATAATACAACTTTTAATATTCCCACAGCTTTGTGAAGAAAAATCATTGGAGGCTTTAGGGAACTGCAAAGTAATTCTATCAAGAAGGCCTTTATTACTGTTTGAGATAACTGAAGATACCTCTATTTCAACAAACTTCTCGAAGTATATTGACAGATTGGAAACAAACAAAATTCTTGAGTAAAAGACATCCCAGCTTCTAATGACCACATTTTCATCTAGACCTCAGTAACAGACCTGACATATTTCTTAGACCCTGGAAACTAGCCCCAGCTGAATCTTTCACACTCTAAGAATAGTGTTCCTTCAATGGAGAAGTGACGGTATTTAACTGCTATGAGAAATGTAAAGATGGCAGTGATGCCTCCACTGCATTTTGACTCTGCACTTTGGTTTGAAGACACAAACATTGCAGGATAGGCTTATACTGATTGTCTCTGCAGTTGCCATAAGGAGTGAATATTCTGTGTTTCTTTCACCGTGTATTTGACAGTAACATCTTCAAAGATTGGCCTTTAACGCTATTCCTAAATATGTCATCTGGGAGCTGGGATCTGACACTCCAATTCATGAATCACTTCCAGCCTTAAAAACTGACCTCTGTCAGTGCTAAACTCCCCTGTACTCTTTAACAAAGCTGGCTGATTGCTTGGAAACATACAGGAGAAATGAAATCACGTATACATCCTGGAGGGAAGGAAAGATAAAATGATGTTTTATTCAGAAAGCATTATATCCTGTGAGGGATTTCTTTATCTTCTTTTGCAACTTTGAACCAAGAATTCAATAAAGGGGCAACATCTCCATCCCATACAATAGGCATTTATGGGATGTACCATAATTGTTGGAAGACTATTTCCCTTCCAACCTGAATCATCCTATGACCCTACTGAAAGTTAGAAGAGAAAGTATTGCTTAAAGGCATGAAAGGAATTGGGGGTTATAATTAGATGCGAGCTTGAATGGGAGTAGTTTCCTGGAACTTTCTTGTGTTTATCAGGCTGCTCAAAATAACTTTCCCTTCAGCTCAGGAGATCCCCTCTTCAGGGAGGAGATTCTCTGTTCAGTTTTGCCTGAACTTTTCTTACACACCTGCTTATCACTGGGGTGAGCTTCAAGACAAGCACTAAGATGTTTGAGGTAATTGAATCTGATGGGCAAACTCCCCGCTCATTTTATTATCTGGGTTTCCTCTACAGCAAACTGGCAACTTAATGAACCTTGCATTACCTGTGCCATGTGATGTAACACTCTCTTTTCCCCCATACCCCATTTGAGGCGTATTGCCTGAGAATATGAAGCCGCCAGTGTGATAATGTTTCAATGATATTAGTCATGTCACTATTTGATTGCAAATCCTATTCTTGCTGTAATAGACAGTGTTGATTACTTCCTCACTTAAGGCCTTTTATAAACTGTTAGGCAATTGACTGCCCTGATTAAAAAGGAACACCTGGTAAACTGGAAACTGCACAGCTCTGCATAGCACAGCCTTCTGTGATACAAGCATTAAAAAAAAAAAAAAGCAACACTAATCAGCAGTCTTGAGCACTGACAGAAGCAAGTTCTCACTTTCATTAAGGGTGCGGGTAGGGGGGAAAAGTCCTTTGCTTGCACCCCTCTCTCCTCCAAACAATCAGATCAACAAGCCTGTCAACAAGTAATCACTATCATGGAGTGGTCATCTTGCATAAGGCTGGAACTGACTGCTCATCATATCTAGAGAAGCCAGTGTTGGATTTGCACAAGAGACAAAGGTATTATTTTTATTACTATTCTGCCATCGAGGACAACTAAATACTGTAATCATGCCATGTATCCACAGAGACAACCTTGGCAGACAGTTAATGTGTAAGCTGTTAACCCTTTTTAAAAGGCTAAGGCAACCCTCTCATTAGTAAGGCCTTGTATTCTTAAATCTAATTGCCACACAATTCCTGGGGTACATACACTTCAAAATACAAAGCCCCATGCAACCTCCATGTGTTAGAACTGACCGCACTATGTAGGAAGAGAAAGTGAAGCAATCTTCTCTATTTCTTCTCTCTCTCTCTCTCTCTCTCTGTGTCTCTCTCTCCCTCCCTCCCCAACATCATATTCTAATTACAGTAATTTATGAAGAAAATAAGGTGCAATTGTATTCATTAATGAGTAACACCAGAAATTAGAACTTCCCTACTACCAAATCTGAGCTTCAGCTGTTAGGTTGCAATTCCACCCTACAACGTTTGCATGACAGCAGCATGATACTATGCTCTTCAGCAAGTAACAACTCTTCTAAGCCCTAAGTCATTTGCATATCTAACTTGAATAATTTTTGCTGGTCACTAATTCATATTTTGGATGCTGCATATTCTTGTGTTCTGTGGATGTGGTGCTTCTAAGGGCAGCAAGAGAGAAAACCTTGTTGGTACCCAGTGCCAAGTTCATTTTACATAGCACTGTTAGCTGGTGCCAACCCCAGTCTTTGCAAAGTGAAGAATTGGGCGAAGAAGAACTGAAGAAAGGTAGAAGAACTCTCTCACTTCTCCTGGTACATGCCCTGCCATTTTATGCCTCTACCATATATGTTCTACCATTGCTTGGGGTATCCATACCTCTACTAGCTTTCAGCTCATTAGCTCCAATACCCTCCCACCTTGCTTTTCTGCCAAAGACATCCAAGCCAGCTGG